AGTTTCATTCATTTTCTTTTTGTTTGTCTACTCTTTCCAACTCAGCCCCTAAAAGCCAAAAGATGGACCAAGTCTGCACATCTAATATGGCTGGGCACAAACAAAATGTTCAGTGATTAATACATCAGGAGAAGTATAAGATAGCCTTGTTAATCAGATATAAAGCAGGCGGGAGGTGCTAATAAATCAAATAGAAAGCAAAAATAAAAAGATAATGCTGGGCTGGTGAGATGGCTCAGTGGTCTAAAGCACCTACTTAGAACAAGCTTAGCAAAGCACAGGGACCGCAGTTCAATCCCCCAGCACCACATGCCAGCCAGCCCCGCCCCCTGGTGGGCTGAGCTGGCCACACACACACACACACACACACACACACACACACACACATAAATAAATAAAAATTTTTAAAAAAGATAATGCTGCACTGTTTGAATTCCCAGTCAAGAAAGGCTTGCCCAAATATGCATGGATTTGGAGTAGGCGAGTGAGTGTGAGTGTGAGTGTGAGTGAGTGTTTATGTGTGTGTGTGTGTGTGTGTGTGTGTAAATGGAGGCAAAACTAGAATTAATCAGAAAAGGACAATAATTACATTTCAAAAAAATTGAATATGTGCATTATATCTAAAACACAAGCATCTGTTTTACACATTTGGTCATTTTGGTTTGCAAAGTTATACTGTAAATATGGATACACTTTTTCCATTAGGACCTAAATAAGTCAAGCATTCTTTGCATCTGCAGTCCTCCTGAGACTTAAGAGAACATAGTTGTTTAAAAATAGCTATCTACTTTCGGTGATTGTAAATTTATGATATATGACTCAGAAAAGATTAAGGAATACAGCCCAACATGACCCTGTGAAACCGGCTTGGAATTCTGGGGGCGGGCGTTCCACGCCTGGCCTGGGTGGCCTTGAGCACCGTCTCACCAGGCTTCCTTTTTCTCATCTGAAGTATAAAACTATTTTGGGCTGGATGAAATTCTAGATCAGTCTCAGATCTGAGTGTAATCTATTTATCTATCTATCACTTAGTAGATTGACTGATAGATCTCCTCAATAAGACCATCACCAGCCTCCTGGGCCCCCTGCAGCTGTGTCTGTACCCACTCCCGCCAGGGGCTATGCGGAAGAAAACCCTAACCCCCCCCCCCGGGGCATCGCCATGTGATGAATGGAATGACTTTCAACTTAAACTTTAAAAATGCATTCCAAGTTACATTAAAGTCACAAGAATATGGAAGTTCCAGCCTCAGAAACTTAGGTAATTAGATGCATGGGTAAAACCAAAAAGCAATCCAAACTAAGCATTCAAGAAGAATTGTACCTTGGGGTTCCCATGATCTACTTTTATAGTTGCATGTGAATGGCAGTCATGATTGTCATCAGCATCACTATCATTTAATATTTTATGATGTCTTGATTAAAAGCAGGCACCATGCTAAATACCGTTAAGGACTTTACCTTTCCAGGAGATACGTCCACCATCCTTAAGGAGTGGCCCATCTCCTCTTCCAGGACAGAGGTAATAGTAAATGTTTTGACATGGTGATGAGTTTGGAAAAGTACAGACCTCTCTGTGAGTCTTGGAGTGCGCATCAGTGTTGTCATTCTGGGGACAATCAGCACTAATTCCAGCTGCACAGATAAAGAGCATGAGAAATACTGAATGCTCCTGAGGCCAAAGGAGAAGGAAGCCTGAGAAATGGTCCCTGAATCAAGCAATGTGTCGTGGAAATAATGGCCCAGGAATTGGAAGGAATGGCTCAGTCACAAAAAGAAGCCAAGATATGAGGTTGTGTGGAAGGGAAAAAACGAGTTTGAAAGAAGGTGCTTCCTTCGAAAATGCAGATTTTAGGGCCAGCCTGATAGCTCAGCAGACTAAAGCACCTGCACAATGCAGCGACTGGGATTTGATTCCCGGTGTGTCATGCTGGCCCCGCCCCCGGGGCACGCTGAGACAGTGACTGAGATTGGGCGTGGTGGCGCGCACCTGTAATCCCAGTACTTGGGAGGCTGAAAACAGGAGAATCACTACAAATCCAATCTAATTAGTGAGACCCTGAACACCCTGCAGACCCTGCCCTAAATACAGAAAGAAAAGAAAAGAAAATGCCTATTTTAACAATTACTCCAGCTGATTGGTGGGTAGATGAAAAGTCATTCCATTCTTTCTGTTCGGCAGATATACTTTAACTTCCTTTATGAAAATTTAGAAAAGAAAGGTGAGAACTGAATACGTGAGAAGAGAGCGGAAAAATGGATAAAGGGAGGATACTGAGTGCATAATAAAGTAGCAATCACTAGTGGCACCGGCTCAGGGCAGGACCGTGGAGATAGAGACAAGGGGACAGTGGAGAACTAATTGTTCTAACGCGAGAGAGACAACTGTAGCGGATTGGGATGAGAAGAAAATGCGGATGAAAGAGGAAGGCGGTGAAAAAAAAAAAAATACAATGCCGTAAAGGAGGCACAAAAAAGGTTGGATGCTTTCATTTCAACAAAGAGGGAGGAAAGATTATAACTTGCAGGGCGAGGAGGTTTCGGGCTGAGGAAGAGGGTGGGAACCTCAGTCATGGGATGCGGCAGTGGACACAGAGCGCTTGTGGTGGAGGCAGCTGGGTGTACAGCGGGATCCCAGATTAGGAATCTGAAAGCGCACTGAAACAGGGTGATGCAGGGTCCCTTCCGGTCCCGGGACCTTCTAAAGTCCCCAGTCTGGCAATAGCATCTCCTAAACAGACGTTTCCTGGAGCAAGTAGCAGGTGTCTGAAACACCCCACATGGGGCCGGCAGATGGCTCAGTGGAATCAGTGCTTCCCTGGCAAGCTCAAGGGCTAAGTTCAAGCCCCGGTTCCGGAAAAAAAAAAAAAAAAAGAAAGAAAACACTCCACAGAGAAAAGTAGGAAGGCAGAGGGAGGGCATCCACTTGACCACAGAGAAGACCACTGATAAATGTGTACAGCCTCACTGTGCAGCCCACGGATGGTCAGAACCACCTGGAAGATTGTCAGAAATGCACAGTCTGAAGCCCCAGCCAGCCTTCTAAGTCAGAATCTGCATTGAGAAAGATTGAACGTGACTGATACATTAGTCACCTCTCAGTTGCTACAACTGAGATAATCAAATTAATAAGAGGAAGGGTTTGTTCAGCCTCATAGTTTAGAGACTTCAGCTCAGGGAGGGTGGGCCCTCAGGCCCTTGGGCCTGTGGCGGGGCAGCACATGGTGGCAGGGGCACATGGTGGAGCAGGGATAGAGGGGCCAAGCCTCAGTGTCCCTTCAAGGACAATGCCCCGTGACAGAAAGCCAACCTGCAAGCCCTACTTCCTTAATGCTTTCACCACCTTCCAAAAGCCAAATTGAGAGCAGAGCTTTTAATACGTGGGCCTCTTAGGAACAGTTAAGATCCAAATTTTAGCAATTTATATATACATTAAAATTTGAGATTTATAGTTCAATCCCTGGTACCGCAAAAAGAAAAAAATTGAGATTCATTTCTGATTTATAGTTGCTGAAAGCTGTGACGTATGAGTGACCACAGCACTGCCAATCTCCATTAAAACCTCCCAGCCTCTGCCCTGGGCCTCCTGTTATCGCGGGTACTCCAGAGAGCACCACGGCCTCCCCCGCCCTCTCCCTCCCTTCTAGCTGTATTCACAGCAGCAGCTGCTGAGTGAAATGTTTTAGTGATGGTAGCTCAGTCTTCAATGTCTCTAACAAGAAAAGTTGACCCTAACTTTTATTCTGTAAATGGGCACTGATCGTACGATTTTTCTCTCTAAATTTTTATTCTCACTAGAGTCTGTTTGCACTGTGTGATGACTGCATCCCTTGTGGGGCCCACGTACCTACCACACCTCAGCTCTTTCTTTCCATCGCCTGCCCCTCTCCCTCCCATTCCCCCATCTCTTAGTTCCCCTCCCATTTGTAAAAGATCTATCTCCCTGTTTCCTACTATATAACTTTTATTTTGCTTTTCATTTATACTTTGCTCACTCATATTAAAGAATCCCTGTGGTGTCCAAGCTTATGTGCTTGATTATTTCACTTAACATTATGTCTCAAGGTGCATCCATTTTCCTACAAATGGCTCAAGTTTAGCTTTCTTTATGGCAGAGCAGGACTCCAATGTGTGCAGAAACGTCTTCTTTCTCCACTCATCTGTTGCTGGACATCCAGCCATTTCCAAGACGTAGCCAGGAAGAACTGTACTGCTGCCAACATGGGTATGTGTGTGTCACTGTACTATGAGGACTTGAACTCTTTGGGGAAGATGCTTAGAAGAGGAATAGCAGGGTTCATGGCCTTTCTAGTTTCAGGTTTTTTGAGGAATCTCCAGGCTGATTTCCATAATAGCTGTACTAGCTTACATTCCTACTAACAATGTGGAAGTTTCCTTTTCCCCACAGCCTCACCAGCACTTGTTATTGTTTGATCTTCCAACGGAGATCATTCTTCCTGGTCATTCCATCGCAAGCAGGTAGCTTTGGTGCCTCAGCCTTGGTTTCTGGACTCCTCACCACCATCTATTGTGACAGTTGGGTCACACAGTAGTCATGCTTCTCACCAGGCTACTAGACTTAATTGCCT